TCTAATGTTTATTTTTTTAATAATTTTCCAACAGCAAAATAAATAAATATTTATATTTTGTATTATATATAAAAATATTGTATATTATATATGTACATATTAATGTATATTATAATGTGTAAGTATATGTAATAATGATTCCTATGTGTATATAATATAATTTATTATATATATACTTATATTTATATAAATTCTTATATATAATATATATATATATGTTTTGAGTGTATGTATATCAGAGTCAAAGATAATGGTAATGTATATATGTTTGTATATCAAAAGATTTGGGGATTCATAAATAAGAAGGTCAATTTAACACTACTTAAAGTATATATTATTAATAGTCTGTATTTATTTATCAATGGACAAATAGCATAAAGATATAATATTACAGTGAGCAAGAAGTAGAACTTCTTGGTATTTAAATGGAAAAGTATTTTAATTCAATTACATGTCACTTAAAGAAGATTTTCTAGAGAAACTGTAAAATGAAGAAATTTCTATGAAAACTAAATAAAATTAAAGCATTATACTTTTAGTATATATTAAGTAAACTATGTCACTGTAAAGTATTTCTTCTACTTCTCTGGATAATTTTTTTCTTGGGAAAACTCAAAATATAATTTAGCTATAGAATAATTATTATTCAAAAAGATTTTTTAATAAAATAAAAGAAGGAAGCAGTGACAGAATAAACATCAGATATATAATTATAATTGCTTGAAAAATATATTAAACAAATAGGCTTTATACTGTATGAAGAAAAAGGAATGAAAAGGACAGTGGGATGGCCTTATTGATTGAAGTGGGTCACTGAAATGTCACTTTTAAACAATTGCCCTTCAATGTGCTTCTAACTCATGACACCACATTATTTCATGTACTTGTGTAAAACACGATCTTCTTTGCCATGTTCATGAAAGCTTGCTTGACTTGTTGGTTCCTCAGGCTGTAAATAAAGGGGTTCAGCATGGGAGCTACTGAGGTATTTAGCACAGCAACTCCCTTACTCAAAGACACTCTTTCTCTGGCTGAGGGTTTAATGTACATAAAAATACAGCTTCCATAAGAGATGGAGATGACAACCATATGGGAAGAACATGTAGAAAAGGCTTTTGTCCTCTGACTAGTAGAAGGAATCTTTAAAATTGTTCTGATGATATATATGTAAGATAGAAATATTAATGCCAAAGTGAACATTAGAGTAAACACGGCACAAGAAAACCCCATTATCTCTAGGAATTTGGTGTCTGAGCAAGAAATCTGCAACAGGGGAAAATAATCACAGGTAAAATGGTCAATGATATTGGACCTACAGTAATCAAGCTGTAAGAGCAACATGAGTAAGGGAAAGATGATTAAGAAGGAAATCAGCCAGGAAGCAAAGACAAGCATTGTACAGACTTTTTGATTCATGATGGTCATGTAATGCAGAGGCTTGCAGATGGCAACATAACGATCATAGGACATGGCAGCCAGAAGGTAAAATTCAGTGACTCCAAGGAGAATGAAAAAAAATAACTGAATTATACAGTCATTAAAGGAAATGGTTTTGTCTCCTGAAATAATGGTGCCCAGGAACTTGGGTATACTGACAGTTGTGAATGAAACTTCTAATAAGGAGAAATTTCTGAGGAAGAAATACATGGGGGTCTGCAGGTGGGAATCCAACAGTGTGAGTGTGATGATGGTCAGGTTCCCAGTGATGCTGAGCATGTAGGTGATGACGAGGAAGACAAAGATCATCACCTGGATCTTTGGATCATCTGACAATCCCACGAGGATAAACCCTGTTATTTCTGTATGGTTATGCATTCTTCAGTTGCTTACTTATTTATTCTTTCCAAAGGTATAGGAGAAAGCAGAAATAACAAAGCTGAATTGAGGATTAATCGAAATACAAGTGCTGAGCTGGAATGTTGCTGAAAGAGTATGCCATTTCCACTTTTGGGGGACATTTGAAGTCATCTGATAGTAACAATGATCTTTAATTTCTCTTTTTCAGAGAAAAACATTTTAATTAAGGCAGGTTACAAGTATCAAAACTACCATGAGAAACAATCTCATCCATGTTAGAAAAGGTATTGTCAAAAAAAAACCAAACAAAAGTAAAAAAAATGTTAGTGAGTATGTGGAAGGAAAGGAATGCCTTTAATTGTATGTGGGGTATAGATTAGTACAGCCACTATGGAGAACAGTATGGAGATTTTAAAAATCCTAAATATGGAACTACCATTAAATCCAGCTGTACAACTCCTGGGCATATATTCAAAGTAATGAAATAAGAACACCAAAGAAATATTTGCATTTTCATGATCATTGTGGCACTATTCATACTAACTAAGATGGAGTCTTTTCAGCCATAAAATAGAATTAAATCCTTTTCATTTTAAGCACAATGAATGGAAATGGAGGACATTAAGTTAAATGAAATATGTCAAAGAGAAAAACAGGCACCACACGTTCTGAAAGGACAAAAGTGATTACTAGGAATTGGGAAGCGTGCAGATGAGTTGGAGAGAGTAGATGTAGGGCTTTTAACTATGATCAATACATGCTGTACATACACATGACAATGTCACACAGAACCCCATTAATACATATGAATAACACTTTTGCACAAAAACAATAAATATCACTTTGGTATCCCAAACCTTGAAGTGGAAAGGTAGGGCTTTATAACCAACTTTTATGACTCCAGTGTTACCCTTACTGTTCAGATACATGCCTACAATGTGTCTTGACATATAAGATCATTTTTGTGTCATTGCTCCACTCTCTACACAAGCTTCTCTTTTTTCAAAAGTTTAAACACATGAAAATCATCAAAATGAGAAAGATGCCTTATTTTAAAAAAGTGATTATTTTATCCTTAGACATCCATCAACTTTTAAAATATATTTAATACCTTTTCCAACTCCTGCTACTACCTCATTGGAAGTCAGAAATACTGAAGCCATCTCCATGACCAGCCTCAGGTGACAGGGATAAAAGGTGAGACAGCATTGAAAGCAATGTAAAGGAGAGAAGGAAGGTAAAAGAAGGAAGTTAAGAAAGGTGAATATGGTTGATGCACTTCCTATACAAGAATGAATATAGAATTTTCAAACTTTTGAAATCACCATAAGATGGGGACTAAGGTAGAAAGAAAAAAATAGAGTATATGAACCAATTTGGGTTATAATACATACATACATGGAAATATCAGAAGGAAACTCCCTGTTTAGCTATATTAAGCAAACTAAAAGGCATTTATAAAAAACAAAGAACATATATATATATATATGAAGGTATATAAACATACATACACACATACAAATGACAGGCATTATATGTAGCACATTGTAATGACATCTGAAATCATCCTTTTACTTATTTCCATGATATTACACATAATACCCATTGCATAATGACCTAAGAACTTTGTTCTTATTCTTCCCAATACTACACCTAGATTATGCTAAAATCTCCTGGGAAATCCACCATTGCACTGTGCATTCTTTCAACTTTAGGCAGGATCTTATCTTCAAAGCTATTACTTATGTTGTAAGAGGAATATTGACTATATTCCCTATATTTAGCATATTTAAAACAAATGATATGTAAAGGAAATCATACTTTATTAAAATATATATGTATACATTAAATGAAAACTTTAAACATCATTTCTAACTTACTTTCCTAACATTTCTATAGTCCATTTTTTTCAACTAACCATATTCCTGTCGTGTCATTCTTACTTCATCAAAATTTGCTTTTGATTTTGATTAAAAGCATGAGATCTTTATAAAACCATGAAATTACAAAGTACTATCTTGAATAGACAAGATTTAGATTCAGTCTCAAGTTTGGAGTTCTTGAAATAACTTACTGATATTGGAGAATTATATTAAAAATATACATTACATTATTACTATTCCATAGAGAAAAGGTATCAATGGACTGTATTTTGACCTCATTTCAGGTTTATCCTCATATTATTTTTCCTCTTAAAATTCTGATGGTTTTAATACTTCGTCTGAATTATAATAACATGGCAAACTCTTTTTTGCTTTTGATTAAAATTTCCTACCTGGAAGGTAGAAGGAACTGTGAGGAAAAGTATGAACAGAGTATGAACAGGTACAGAAAGAATTTATGAGAGCATCACAAAAATATGAGCATTTCTACAGCTAGTCCTCAAGGACTAAGGAAACAGTAGTAAGTGGTCTAATATAAAAAACTGACTGTGGTACACTATAATTTTATTTGAAAATATTTATAAAAATTCAATGGACTGTATTCATTTGCCAACACAAAATAGCCTTAATAAAAATTGTGAGCATTTATAGTCTTTTGAAGGAATAAAAGACAATGTTAAATGTGGTACATATGATCCATAGAGCCTTAAATTATTCTAAGGATATATTTGTGGAGAGGATGAAGGATATCTCAACCACTTAGCTCATCGATTCAGTTCCTTCTCTTTTTTTCCCTTTATTGTTGTCCAGAGTGGGGGTACACTGTAGTATTTAATAGGTTATAATATACTTGATATATATCATATATATCATGATATACATATAGATATATCAAATATATCATACATGAATTCACCTACTCAGCCATACCCCTTCATCTTCTTCCCCCAGTTTCCTGGAGTAATTTCAGCAGGTATCCTTTTTGCCTTTACTTACAGATGTACACATTATCTCCTAGAAAAATATGAATTATATTATTCAGCTCTCATTCCTCTTTACCCATTTCATCAAAATGACTTCTTACTTGCCTTCCAGAGAATTAGAGAACAATTCAAAACAAAAATTAAAAGTGATTTTTAATATTTGTTAAAAAGATAGCTACATGGCATCTTCAGGGCATTCATTCTGAAAACATCCCCAATCTGCCCTTCCTAAACCTTAAAGTCAAATGAATATTAACCATGACACTCCACATAAATTCAGGGTAACATGGGCAATTTATTTGATTCCAAGGCAAAAAAAACCCCTTTATATTCAAGGATACATGAAGTATTAAGGATCAAGAAACATTCCTTTGTGAGACTAGCATAAAAGACTTTGAAATTCTATTTTATTACTGGGGTGTGTGTGTGTTGTGTGTGTGTGTGTGTGTGTTTTGTATTTAATAATATTTTTGTTCTACTATTTGGACATTTCCATAGCAACCAAGTAACTTTGAACACCTAGTATTTTCCCAAATATTCTGTATTTACTCAATTCTCTCCTCTTCAATTAAGTCTCATTAAAAGTTATTAGAAAAGTTTTACAGAGCATAGCTCCAAAAATAAAGTTCACTTATCATTTCAGACTTTTGCTTTCTACTTTATGAATTTGAAGAGTTGTTCAGAGTTTAGGTTTTTATACATTACCTGAAAGAATAATTATTTAATTCAATGTGTGGACAATATCTAGCTCAGCTTCATAATTATAGAAAATTTAACTTCTGGCACTGTTCAGGTCTTTCAGGCTATGGGTGATGACTACACATGGCTTCCTTTGAGAAGTTTTTTAAGCATGAATAAAACAAAGAATCCCCAGGAGATCCCACTGAGTGGTTAGAAGACTTTTTTATTGAACTTTTATTTTCTATTTTTTCAGAATTATTTTGGTGACTTTTCCTAGGGAAATATGAATAGTTTATATTTGTTATATTCAGTAATGATGGGTAGATTCACTTTTCAGCATTTTTACAGGTATCTATACAAACAAATCAAGGGAAGACAGACCATGAAGTCACATGTAATAACAAGAATATTCACATCTGTTAGAGTTTATGATAAATGTCTGCTCAAACTTCACACTTCCCATTAATTAACTAGACATAATTTAAACAAGGAAGGAAAAGAAAATAATTTAAGAAATTATTGTACTAAAGCACTATTAATTTCTTATTTAGGACATTATAAACTCAATTACCTATTGCAAAAAGTATACAGGTTAAAAATACAAAGTGAGCTTTTAATGGATTTCTGACTTTAGATGAGTTACTTTCTTTAAGTTCAGTTTCTCTGCTAAAATGTAATTGAAATATTGAGAGTGCATTTGAGGATTAAAAAATTATATAAATAATTGAGCTGCATAAAGTCTGTGGTATGTGGACTTTAAGACTATATTAATTATTTCATTTTTCTTTTGATTGGAATTAATTCACAACTTTGGGAAAGATATTCTTAGTAGATGTGATTTATTAAAAGTATGATTTAGTTCAGTGACTAAAAACTTTCATACTTAACTTACTTATCCCTTATCGCACACTTATGAAATATTTATCCTTATTTCCAAATGAGGCATTGAAGTTCAGAGACAAACTTCCACTAAATCATAAAGCTAGAAAATGATATGTATAATCCCAGAGTACTTAGAATTAAAGTATGTTCCCTTAAACACAGAACTACATAGCATGTATTTGATTAGAAACACAAAGACACAGAGACAATATTTTCCTGCTTTTAATCAACATAAAATGAGTGAATTGATATAATAAAACAAAATGTTAACAATTTTATAAAATTTGATTCAAGTTTAATTCTAATAATCTAATTAATATATAGAATTAATCTCATTTAATTAATTTTGATTAACATTTGAACTGTGTAGTAATAAATCAAAGTTGAAATTTGAGAGTTCTACTGCTTTCTGTATGTTCCACTTACCTTTCATTTTCACACAGTTTCACTAACTCAGGTTAGAATGCTGAAAACATCAGCCAATGCCATTGCTAATCCAGACAAAATAGCATTTCTTAAAAAGTTCCTCTGTTCCACTAAACTAGTTTATTTCTATTGTTAATGATTTAGCTTTCATCTTCCATTTTATACAGTGTAGATATAT